AAAAAGATGAAAAAAATAAACAGCAAAAATGGAATAATTAGCATAATTGAAACTCAAAAAAAAAAAAAAAAAAAAAAAATAGGGATTTTGAAAAATTTGGGTCGGCGGGTAATGCAAAACAAAAAATTAACTTTGCGTGGCTTTATCAGGTTACATCATTTGAGATCACTCCGATTATGTCCGGAAACGATCGTTTATTACGTGATCTCGACATTTTTTTTGCCATGACTAACCTACCTGTTAGAACCTTAACTATAACACTAAAATGGGCCCTAACCCTAACACAAACGAACTTAAAGAATTTTGTCGGACATCACGTGATGGTAAAATTTTGTTGACAAATCATGTGATCAACAGCTAATCAAATTATAGAATTTTGATGATCGCCGGCGAAGCAAACCAAAAAAATAATAAAAAACAGTCTAAACCTACCTCGGGTAGGTTAATCAAAAATGTCGGGAAGACAATTTTGCTTATAAATAACTACCTAAAACCTATCCTAACCCTAATATAGGATGACCCTAACCCTAAAGTAATCGAGAACATTATTAAGAAATATGAGTGCCTCCGCTTTAGACGTCCCCCAAATCGGGCGGTGGGCACATAGATGTACGCAGTCAGCTGCAATCTTAGGCACAACATATCGATATACATTATTACAGGGACATGAATCTCACTTCTATATTTGTATTACTATTAAGATTTATATAGCGATAGCCATCGCCACCTTAATAGCAAAAGGAAACATACTCGAAAAACTAATGATTAGCCCAGTCGTATAACAGGTTTTTTTAATTTTACTACATATTTATTGAGGAAATACATGTATAAACTAAATAAAATAAAATTTAATATTTCGAAAAGTTTTCGTTCTAAATATCTTATAAATTAAAGTGATTCTATATTCACAGTAGCTCGAATAGCAAAAGTAATATTTCTTCTGGTAGGTTTAATTTAATTGTAAAAATTATGCCAACATTTTTGTCACTATTGTTTCGGGAATAAGATAAATCATAATTATGAGGTTTAATCATCAAATGAAAATGAAAATAATGGATATCTAAACAAACTTTCACATTAATAGAAATGTTAGAAAAAAATAAAATTTATTTAGAATATTGTAATTTACCGATTTTATAATTTTATTTATAGTCAATCCACAATGCAGTCTACCCTCGTTGTAACGGACTTTGTTATAACAGATGGCTCTTCATAGCGGAGTAATTCTCTAGAACAAATTAAAATTTTATTCTTATGCAATGCAACATTGTAGCGAATACTCATTATAACGGACAGAATTTCTCAGTCCGGTCACTACATTATAACGAGGGTAGACTGTAAATGATACTCTTTCTAAATGTAGTTTTAATAGATACATTCTATAAATTTGCATTCCTTATAAATAGGAATGTTATCGACTCATTCAGCTCTATTAATTAATCAGTTTTTATTTATAAAATGTACAGTATACATTAATTGTTAATAGGATTCTCTACCACATATCACTTCTTGATTTTTGATTTTAAATTATCGGTATGTAAGTATATGGTTTATAACGCTTTGCAAAAAGATATTGTCACATGATTTTGTGATAATGATCGGAGAAAATTTCCGAGATTTTAGATTGTTACGTATTACTTTATATTTTCGAGCAGTTACATTTATATTTCTTTGAAATCGGTAAAATTCTTAAAATCTATAGAATTTTCGATTCTCACGCGGCATTGTGATCTGCAGAAGCCACATCTTTGCAAAACCATTAGTACGTAAGTACTTAGTTTATTTTTTAAGCAATGTATATGTTGTAAATGGACAGGAATTTAAACGGATTTGAAGTTCTTAGGATTTTAGGGTTAAGGTAGAAGTTTATATAGAATAAACTCTACCCCAAAATTATAATTTCGTTAAGAAATCCAAATTCGCTTAAATTCCGTTTCACTTATACATTAATAGAATCCTCTATTAAATATTTCCTCTCTATTCATTCACTTATATTACCAGGATGTAAATACTGTATATAACTCATTCATAAAATAATGTAACATGTTATCATCATTAGAATTCTCTATTAAATTCACTTAAAATTACCAGGGAGTAAATATAGTTTATTCATAGAATAATGTACATGTTCTATTGTCATTAGAATTCTCTATTAAATTTTACTTCCACCTTAAATTTTCTGTGCGTAAGTATATAGTTTATTCATAAAGTTATGCACACTAGCATCAGTAGAATTCTTTGTTAAATATTACCTCTCTGTTCTTTCATTTTAAGGCACTAGCTGGTAAGTATATAGTTGATTCACAAAATAATATACACATTTTATCGTCAATAGAATTCTCTATCAAATGTTACTTATCTGTTTTGCATTCTAAATTACCAGGTGGTAAGTATATAGTTTTTTCATAAAATAACGTATATATTTTATTGCCAATATAATTCTATACTAAATAATACTTTCACTTTAAATTACCAGGAGGCAAGTATATAAATACTGTGCACGTTTTATCGTCAATAGAATCCTTTATTGAATACTATTTCTGTTCTTTCACTTTAAATTACCAGGAAGTAAGTATCTATAATTTATTTATAAAATCTTTAACACAGTCAACTCTCTCTAAGTGCAATTCGTTTTGATTGGATTTTTAACAACATATATTTAGAGAACAATTAAGAAAAAAAATTGCATTTATATACCTGGGTCAGAATTTAAAGTTGAATTAGAGAGTTAGACTTAAAGAGGTTTCACTGAGAGAGGTTGTCTGTATCCATTTTATCGTCAATAGAATTCTTTATTAAACATAACTTCTCTATTTTTTTACTTAAAGTACCAGAATGTAAGTATATAACTTATTCATAAAATAATGGGGTTTCAAAATTTAAAATCAGAAAATCTTATTTGATTTTTTCGATTTATAATTCAACGTAGTAAAAATACTATTTGAAATCTATTTATTTTTAAAATACGCTATTTATCTTTAATTTTGAAACCCCAATGTAAACATTTTATTGTCTCTAGAATTCTCTATTAAATACTAATTCCCTGTTCTTTCACTTTAAATTACCAGTTTGTAAGTATAAAGTTTATTCATAAAAGTATTTGCACGTTTTATCGTCGATAGAATTCTCTATTAAATATCAATTCCCTGTTCTTTCACTTTAAATTATCAGGAAGTAAGTAGTTTATTCATAAGGTTATGTGCACGTTTTATCGTCGATAGAATTCTCTATTGAATATTAATTCCTGCTCTTTCACTTTAAATTACCAGAGCGTTAGTATATAGTTTATTCATAAAATTATGTCACGTTTTATCGCCGATAGAATTCTCTATTAAATAATAATTCCCTGTTCTTTCACTTAAATTACCAGGTCGTAAGTATATGATTTATTCATAAAGTTATGTGCACGTTTTATCGTCGATAGAATCTCTATAAACTATTAATTCCTGTTCTTTCACTTAAATTACCAGGGTGTAAGTATATAGTTTATTCATAAAATTATGTGCACATTTTATCGTCGATAGAATTCATTATTAAATATTAATTCCCTGTTCTTTCATTTAAATTACTAGTTTGTAAGTATATAGTTTGTTCATAAAATTATGTGCACGTTTTATCGTCGATAGAATTCTTTATTAAATATCAATTCCCTGTTCTTTCTCTTAAATTACCAGGGTGTAAGTATATAGTTTGTTTCATAAAATTATGTGCACGTTTTATCGTCGATAGAATTCTCTATTAAATAATAATTCCCTGTTCTTTCACTTTAAATTATCAGTTTGTAAGTATATAGTTTATTCATAAAGTTATGTGCACGTTTTATCGTCGATAGAATCTCTATAAAATATTGATTCCTGTTCTTTCACTTAAATTATCAGGGCGTAAGTATATAGTTTATTCATAAAATTATGTGCACATTATATCGTCGATAGAATTCATTATTAAATATTAATTCCCTGTTTTCTCACTTAAATTACCAGTTTGTAAGTATATAGTTTGTTCATAAAATTATGTGCACGTTTTATCGTCGATAGAATTCTTTATTAAATATCAATTCCCTGTTCTTTCACTTAAATTACCAGAGCGTAAGTATATAGTTTGTTCATAAAATTATGTGCACGGTTTATCGTCGATAGAGTTCTTTATCAAATATCAATTCCCTGTTCTTTCACTTTAAATTACCAGTTTGTAAGTATATAGTTTATTCATAAAGTATGTGCACGTTTTATCGTCGATAGAATTCTATTAAATATTAATTCCTGTTCTTTCACTTAAATTATCAGTTTGTAAGTATATAGTTTATTTATAAGGACGAATCTAATTGTAGCACCCTGTTACACACCTTATTTGTAACACCTAACTAAGGATGGCTCCGAAAGTGGGTACTTTCGGTACTTACAGAAATCGAAAGTCTACCGAAAGTACTTTTGAACAGGATCTGGTTTACTGAAATGTTCGAAACTCGAAAGTTCTACCGAAACTCAAAAGTCCTACCGAAACTCAAAAGTCCTACCGAAACTCGAAAGTCCTACCAAAACTCGAAAGTCTTACCAAAACTCTTACCGAAACTCAAAACTCTTACTAAAACTTTTACCAAAACTCGAAAGTCTTACCGAAACTCGAAACTCATACCGAAACTCGAAAGTCTTACCGAAACTCGAAACTCTTACCGAAACTCAAAAGTCCTACCGACTTACTGAAAGTCAAACCCTATTTTTGCTCAAGTAATTGAAATATAACGATTTTAAAAAAATTACGTGACCGCTCCACTTGAAATTGACCAATGGGATCGTGGATAAGAATTTATAGAATTTATTCGCCAATTTTAAGTGGTGCAGTCATGTGATTTTTTATGATCGTTATATCTAAAAATCTGGATTGGCCTTTGTCAAAGTCTGCGTCATGTGATATGTTCATAAAATGAGTTTTGACTTTGGTAAGAGTTTCGACTTTCGGTAAGAGTTTCGAGTTTCGGTAAGACTTTCGAGTTTCGGTAAGACTTTCGAGTTTCGGTAGGACTTACGAGTTTCGGTAAGACTTTCGATATGACTTTCAATTTCGACTTGACTTTCGGCACGCCAAAATACTTTCGGAGCCATCCTTACACCTAACTTAATACAGCCAATAAAAATAATTAAAAATTCGTGTAATCCAAACCATAAATCGAAATCTGATTGGCTTGTTACATATAACAGGTGTTACGAATACATTTTTTCTATTTATAAAATTATGTGCACGTTTATCGTCGATAGAATTTTTTATTAAATATTAATTCCCTGTTCTTTCACTTTAAATTACCAGTTTGTAAGTATATAGTTTATTCATAAAAGTTATGTGCACGTTTTTATCATTGATAGAATTCTCTATTAAATATTATTTCCCTGTTCTTTCACTTTAAATCACCAGAGCATTAGTATATAGTTTGTCATAAAACTATGTGCATGTTTTATCGTTGATAGAATTCTCTATTAAATATTACTTCCCTGTTCTTTCACTTTAAATTACCAGGACGTAAGTATATAGTTTATTCATAAAGTTATGTGCACGTTTTATCGTCGATAAAATTTTTTATTTAACTATTAATTCCCTGTTCTTTCACTTAAATTACCAGTTTGTAAGTATACAGTTTGTTCATAAAGTTATGTTCACGTTTTATCGTCAATAGAATTCTCTATTAAATATTACTTCCCTTTAAATTACCAGCTTGTATGTATATAATTTGTCATAAAATTATGTGCACGTTTTATCGTTGATAGAATTCTCTATTAAATATTCCCTGTTCTTTCACTTTAAATTACCAGTTTGTAAGTATATAGTTTATTCATAAAATTATGTACACGTTTTATCGTCGATAGAATTTTTTATTAAATATTAATTTCCTGTTCTTTTGCTTAAATTACCAGGGCGTAAGTATATAGTTTATTCATAAAATCATGTGCACGTTTTATCGTCGATAGAATTCTTAAACAAATATTAATTCCCTGTATTTTCACTTTAAATTACCAGTTTGTAAGTATATAGTTTATTAATAAAGTATGTGCACGTTTTATTGTCGATAGAATTCTTTATTAAATATTCCTTCCCTGTTCTTTCACTTAAATTATCAGTTTGTAAGTATATAGTTTGTTTATAAAGTTATGTGCACATTTTATCGTCGATAGAAATCTTTATAAAATATTAATTCCCTGTTCTTTCACTTAAATTACCAGTTTGTAAGAATGCAGTTTGTTGATAAAGTTATGTGCACGTTTATCGTCGATAAAATTCTCTATTATATTAATTCCCTGTTCATTCACTTTAAATTACCAGTTTGTAAGTATATAGTTCATTCATAAGGTTATGTGCACGTTTTATCATCGATAGAATTATCTATTAAATATTAATTCCTGTTTTTTAACTTAAATTAGCAGGACGTAAGCATATAGTTTGTTCATAAAGTTATGTGCACGTTTTAACATTGACAGAATTCTCTATATTACTTTCCTGTTCTTTCACTTTAAATTACCAGTTTGTAAGTATATAGTTTATTCATAAAATTATGTGCACGTTTGTCGCCGAAAGAATTCTTTATTAAATATTATTTCTCTGTTCTTTCGCTTTAAATTGCCAGTTGGTAAGTATATAGTTTATTCATAAAATTATGTACACGTTTTATCGTCGATAGAATTCTCTATTAAATATTATTTCTCTGTTCTTTCACTTTAAATTACCAGGATGTAAGCATATAGTTTATTCATAACATTATGTACACGTTTTATCGTCGATAGAATTCTCTATTAAATATTAATTCCTGTTCTTTCACTTAAATTACCAGGACGTAAGTATATAGTTTGTTCATAAAGTTATGTGCACGTTCTATCGTTGACAGAATTCTCTATTAAATATTACTTCCATTTTCTTTCATTTTAAATTACCAGTGCGTTAGTATATAGTTTATTCATGAAATTATAGAATTCTTTATTAAATATTAATTCCCTGTTTTTTCAATTAAATTGCCAGGGAGTAAGTATATAGTTTGTTCATAAAGTATGTGCATGTTTTATTGTTGACTGAATTCTCTATTAAATATTCTTTCATTTTAAATTACCAGTGCATTAGTATATACTTTATTCATGAAATTATTTGTGCATGTTTTATCGTCGATAGAATTCTCTATTAAATATTAATTCCCTGTTCTTTGACTTTAAATTACCAGGGCGTAAGTATATACTTTATTCATAAAATTATGTGCATGTTTTATCGTCGATAGAATTCTTCATTAAATATTATTTCTCTGTTCTTCCACTTTAAATTGCCAGAGCGTAAGTATATAATTTATTCATAAAGTTGTGTGCACGTTTTATCGTCGATAGAATTCTTTATTAAATATCAATTCCCTGTTCTTTCTCTTAAATTACCAGGGTGTAAGTATATAGTTTATTCATAAAGTTATGTGCACGTTTTATCGCCGATAGAATTCTCTAATAAACATTAATTCCCTATTCTTTCAAGTGCGTAAGTATAGTTTATTCATAAAATTATGTGCACGTTTTATCGTCGATAGAATTCTTTATTAAATATTAATTCCCTGTTCTTTCACTTTAAATACCAGGGTGTAAATATATAGTTTATTCATAAAATTATTTGCACGTTTTATCGTCGATGAAATTCTTTATTAAATATTAATTCCCCGTTCTTTCACTTAAATTACTAGTTTGTAAGTATATAGTTTGTTCATAAAGTTATGTGCGCGTTTTATCGTCGATAAAATTCTCTATTGAATATTACTTCCCTGTTCTTTAACTTTAAATAACCAGGACGTAAGTATATAGTTTATTCATAAAATTATGTGCACGTTTTATCATCGATAGAATTCTTTATTAAATATGATTTCTCTGTTCTTTCACTTTAAATTGCCAGAGCGTAAGTATATAGTTTATTCATAAAGCTATGTGCACGTTTTATCGTATTAATTCCCTGTTCTTTCACTTTAAATTGCCAGTTGGTAAGTATATGGTTTATTCATAAAATTATGTGCACGTTTTATCGTCGATAGAATTCTTTGTTAACTATTAATTCCCTGTTCTTTCACTTTAAATTACCAGGACGTAAGTAAATAGTTTATTCATAAAATTATGTGCACGTTTTATTGTCGATAGAATTTTTATTAAATATTAATTCCCTGTCTTTCGTTAAATTACCAGAGCGTAAATATATAGCTTATTCATAAAATTATGTGCACGTTTTATCGTTGATAGAATTCTTAATCAAATATTAATTCCCTGTTCTTTCACTTTAAATTACCAGGACGTAAGTATATAGTTTATTCATAAAGTTATGTGCACGTTTTATCGTCGATATAATTCTTTATTAAATATTAATTCCCTGTTTTTCACTTTAAATTACCAGGACGTAAGTATATAATTTATTCATAAGGTTATGTGTTCTATTAAATATTAATTCCTGCTCTTACACTTTAAATTACCAGAGTGTTAGTATATAGTTTATTCATAAAATTATGTCACGTTTTATCGTCGATAGAATTCTCTATTAAATATTAATTCCCTGTTCTTTCACTTAAATTATCAGGGTGTAAGTATATGGTTTATTCATAAAGTTATGTTCACGTTTTATCGTCGATGAAATTCTTTATTAAATATTAATTCCCCGTCTTTCACTTAAATTACTAGTTTGTGAGTATATAGTTTGTTCATAAATTGTGTGCACGGTTTATCGTCGATAGAATTTTTTATTAAATATTAATTCCCTGTTCTTTCACTTTAAATTACCAGTTTGTAAGTATATAGTTTATTCATAAAGTTATGTGCACGTTTTATCGTCGATAGAATTCTATTAAATATTAATTCCTGTTCTTTCACTTAAATTACCAGGTTGTAAGTATATGGGTGCCTCGTATTATAGCTGTTTTCAAAAAGGTGTGAACAGACGCCAATAACTATATCACAGGAAATTCACGAAATTGCCCAGATTTCCAAAACTTTAAAAGCCAGCTCTAATCGGATCTTCAATTTTTACTAATGATAATTTCCCAATTCTTCGATTCCCCACATATGTATGGTGCCGGAAGCTTATACTCGACAATCACGTGAAATGTTTCAATTTTCACGTGATTGAAGTTGGCCAATAAAATTGCAAAAATTTGTGTTACACATATAACTTTGTGAATTTGTTCGATGTATAGTTTTTACATAACCGATATATTAAACAAATGCATTTAAAGAATACATCTTTAGACCTTTTATATGTTAGAAAATAACACAAATATAGCGAACAATCATTATGTAGTGTACATAATTAAATAAACTAATTCAAATATTACAGAATTTTCTAAATACGCATTTTATATGTCAAACTAATTTATTAATGTTCTTCAATTCACATGTCAGACATAATAGCAATGTATTAATATTCAATATCAAAAAGCAAAACTTAGAAAAATAAATATTAAATATTAGTAAATAGTATAAATATTTTAATGCTACTAAATGCCGCTGAAATTATATTGTAAAAATATGCTGTATATTAAATTAAATAAATAAAAAAATAATAAATACCAATTACTCTATATCTAAATCCATTTCTCTTTCAATATTTTCGGGCAAATGACGATGTGATTTATATTTGTTTACAGCCCACTCAGCTGTTCTACCTTCCAGACCTTTGTCATAAGCATCCATATATCGCCAAGATTTACGAGAATATTTACGAATTGTTGTTATAGGGACATTAACAAGGGCTCTTGGAACTTGTTGCTGTAAATCGAAATAACTATATTTACATAATCTTCTTGTCTCCTTTTTTACATAACTCCAATATCTTTCAATAAAGTTGCACTCGCAATGAAACTTGGGATATCGCTCAAATATATGACCTTTTTCAAAAAGTACCTCTTCAAGCATTGATTTTTGTTCACAAACATCAGGCTGCTGTGATATAATTTGCCGTGCACAGCAGCCCAATCTTATTGAATTATCATGTTCATTTTTTTTACACTGCTTACATACTAGATAAACACCTTGTGACGGCCATAATTGACGTTCAGTAAGTATTTGTTTAATTCCTTTTGGTTGTCCTCTATATTTTGCTATATGATAATCATCTGGAAATAACATTGATTGTATTTGCTTTTCTCCACATTCATTAAAATACCAGCCATTGCGCATTTTAGGCTGCAATCCCCCTGGACCAAGGTTCATTTTTGTTGCAACCAATGCATTTTCAGCCATAGCATTATGATTGGTTGATTGGTCGAAACAAAAAACACCAACACAACCAGGGTGAAGTATTTCGAATATTGGAATTGCACGTTCTACAAGCTGTTCCAACATGTGCTCTGATTTCCAATACCCATCTGACTGTATAGAATGAAGAACAAATACTTCTTTATACTTTATATGGGGATTTGCTCTCATCTGCTCATCAGATAGCTGTAATAATCCATGACATGGGCAGATGAAAGCTGAAACCATAATTGATCGTCCCAGATGTTTTGAACGTAAAAGATCTTCATTTTTTTTAATCCAAACCTTTTGCTTCCCATCATTTGCATAAAAGTGACATTCGTCATGTGTAACTTGTACATACTCTTTTTCATCAAATTCGAGTTGAGGCTCCAATATAATATCTAGCATATCACCGCTAAAACTTTTCATATATTTTCTATATACGGGTTTGTTAATACATTAGTTTGAATTAAAAAAAACCCCGAAATCATTTAACTAATAGTTACTTTATAGACATCTTTTACAAATTAATTTATAAACAAGTGTAATTCATAGATGATTAATTCACAAATAAGTTTATTTTATAGACAATTCAGTTTACTAATGGTCTCGCTTATAGATTGTCTATAAAATAAAACGTTTATAAAATGATTGTCTATAAAGTAAGTAGAACTAAATTTGAGTTTGAATTGTTTTAATAAAATGATTCAGATAGACATATATTCTCTGAATCTAATTATTGAAATCTAAAAGGTTTAAAATTAAGCTCAATTTGAAGTATCGAATTTCAATACTTCAAATTTATTTCTAATAAATTAAACCCGGTTAGATTAAATTAAAGTATTATTGCTTACTAATATCTTACCTATATGTAAACATTCTATTTAACCATTCTCTTCTGTAAGCCACAACATCTGATCGCTCATGCCCATCATAATATACACCTTTTTTTTTCATTGTATCTAAACCCCCATAGGTGCATATATGTTCGGCATGTTCGTTCTGAGATTGTTTTTTTTTTTATTTGATTCATCATTTGGGGAAATAATAATCCTTCGATATAAGCTTTCAATGCACCTGGAGAACGTGATTCAGGTTTTTGTTGGTGTAGCCAAGCTTGACATGCATCTGAAAAATCTATGTTTTTAATTAAACTCTTCAATTTTGTATGTTTTCCCTGACGATCAGCAAGAAGTTCTCCTGTTTGAACATAATGATCACCCCACTTCCTAATGCGTCTTGCTAAATAACTTCCTTTGTTCCATATTATTTTTGCAATACAAGTACTGGCATCTATTTTACCCTTATTATTTAACAATAATTCTATATATCTGCTTATGCTTAAGAGACGCAGGTGATTATATGTAGGTGTATTTGAGGATTTTGTAATTAAGCATTGACGATTAACTTCATCTAGACGCATTTGTAATTTCATAATTTTATTGGATGATGATAAGTCAGATACAGAAATTGGGGGTAATTGTGGTAACGGTGATGATAAGTTAGATACAGAAATTGAGGATAATTGCGGTAATAGTGATGATACAACATTATTTGATTTATGTGTTAGTGAAAGTAAAGTCTCATCATTAATAGATAGACCCAAACGCGATCGTAACTTTGTCATAGCTTCTACAAATAATGGAGAGTTTCGTATTGCTGTTGGAAGAGATTTTGATGAAAATTGTGATACTAATGATAGAGCACTAGTTAATAATGGTCGGGATAGTGATATTACAGTATTAATAGATAAAGATTGCTGTGACGAAGTAACTATTGTGTTAGTATCTGATAACACATCAACTTTTTTTTGTTTTCTTCACCAGATTGTTGTTCTTGACATTCTATTAAATACAGGTCCAGCTTGTTTTTCCTCATCAACATTATCTTGCATTATGGTATTCAAATAACTAGTCTCATCTGGCATTGTAGTGTCTTGATCTATTTCCATCATTTCACCATGTATATCAACAGTTTCTTGATCTATTTCCATCATTTCACCATGTATATCAACAGTTTCTTCATATATAACAATTTTTCGAGGTGCAAAGCAGCCACGTTTTCTAGGTAATTCATTTGCAAGACGTTTCCTTTTGTTTGGACGAGGCATTATAAATTAACTAATTAAGAAATTTATTTATGAATTCACAAATTCGTTAGGTATATTTTTCAACACATTATGTACTAATACATTTCATAAATAGATATTAATATACAATGAAATTAATTGATCAGCAATATTAATATACGCCAAAGCTATTTAATCAACGACTTCGACGTTCAAGCCTTCGATTTTTTTTTATTATCAATAATATTTTACGATAAATTTTATTTAGGGACAAGGTTTTATTTGATAACAATTATATTTAATTTGAAGACGATAAGAGAGCATTTAAATCATTTCTGGAGTCGGTTAATATGATCGGACAATAAATATCACCCAATCAAATGGTCTAAATCCACATATGATTTGTCACGATTTGTTTCAATTTCGACAAAAACCATATAAACTTTAAAACGCTAAAACTTTTTATAGAAGCGATTTTTTAAAAAACTAAACCGTTAACTTGATAGAGCGCATTTTAAACTACAAAGTTAACGGTTTACTTTTTTAAAATTGTCTCTGTTGAAAATGGAGTAGCATTTTGAAAATTTCCGTATGTCAGATCACGTGATTGTCGAGTATAAGCTTCCGGCACCATATATGGAAATCGTTGTTCACACCTTTTTGAAAACAGCCCATTTTGACATATAGTTTATTTTGAGATAATTGGATTTAAACGTTTGTTTTGATTTTCGGACTGATCCAGGATTAAGCAAATTTCACGATTTTGATAGGTTAAAGGTAGCAGGTGACTATCGGGTAATCTCGTGATGTGCTTGTCCTTTGGCAGCATCGTGTAATTTTTCTTCCATTTTTTATTATGCAAATCGACCTTCATTTATAGTTGAAAAATGTCAATCATATCAAAATTTACATGAATCTAATAAAAACCCATTTTTCTAAAAAATTGCAAAATGGGCCTTTTTAATACGAGACACCCCATATAATTTATTTATAAAATTATGTGCACGTTTTATCGTCGATAGAATTTTTTATTAAATATTAATTCCGTTCTTTCACTTTAAATTACAAGGGCGTAAGTATATAGTTTATTCATAAAATTATTTGCACGTTTTATAGTCGATGACCAGTTTGTAAGTGTATAGTTTATTCATAAAGACATGTGCACGTTTTTATTGTCGATAGAATTCTCTATTAAATATTACTTCCCTGTTCTTTCACTTTAAATTACCAGAGCGTTAGTATATAGTTTATTCATAAAATTATGTGCACGTTTTATCGTCGATAGAATTCTCTATTAAATATTACTTCCCTGTTCTTTCACTTTAAATTACCAGTTTGTAAGTATATAGTTTATTCATAAAATAATTTGCACATTTTATCGTCAATAGAATCTCTATTAAATTGTTCTTTATTGAATAATATTTCTGTTCTTTCACTTTAAATTATCAGGCTGTAAGTATATAGTTTATTCATAAAATAATGCATTAGATATTATTTCTATTCTTTCATAAAATACCTGGATGTAAGTATATATTTTATTCATTAAATAACGTATACATTTATCCTCAATAGAATTCTCTATTAAATTGCTTTCATATTAAATTACCAGCATGTAAGTATATAGTTTATAAAATAATGTACCCATTTTATTTCAATAGAATTCTCTATGAAATGAGTTCTTTCACAGCCAACCCATATGATGCATATACTCTAAGCATGGTTTTCTGTGAAAGAACCCAAATATTACTTCACTTCAAATTAACAGTATATATGTAATAGTTTATTCATAAAATAATGTATACATTTTACCGTAAATAGAATTATCTATTAATATTACGTGAATTACCAGGAAGTGCATAGTTTATTCACGAAATAATGCTTGAAATTTATCATCAATTAAAATTCTCTTACGTATAGTAGATACTATTCGAGTCGGGATCCCGTGAGAGAATTTTTAAAACATACTTCATTACCATGGATTCCGTTTAAAGATTTACGGGACATTACAAAAATTGGAAAAGGCGGATTTTCAACTGTGTACTCAGCAAAATGGATCGACAAATATGTTGCTCTTAAGCTTCTTCATTCATCACAAAATAATTCTGAGAGATTCATAAAGGAGGTACTGTGGATATTTTGATAATTTAATTACCGCCATCTATATTTTACTAACATTTATTGTATTGTAGTTAAGAGCATTTCATGATATTACACGTAAAAATTCAAAATTTTTACGATGCTATGGGGTATCGAAAGATGAAAAAACCAATGATTATATTTTAATCATGCAATACGCTCAAAAGGGTTCTTTGCGTCAAAATCTTAATGAAGTTTCACAAATACGGTGGAAAATGAAGTTAAATTTACTGTCCCATATCGCCGAAGACCTCCAAGCAATTCATAGTCATGACATTATTCATCGTGATTTACATAGCGGAAATATATTACAAGATCATCTTTTTAATGCATATATCAGCGACCTAGGACTTTCGGAATCGGTTAATAAAGCATTGATGAGATCTGATGGGATTTATGGTGTATTTCCATATATTGCTCCAGAAATTTTACGCAGAAAAGAGTATACAATAGCATCTGACATCTATTCATTTGGTATGATTATGTGGGAATTATCATCAGGACGGTTATCACTTTCAGATAGAGAACATGATACAAGACTTCTTTTTGAAGTTTGTGAAGGAATGCGGCCAACTGTCGTTAAAGATATTCCACAATGTTATAATGATCTTATGAAAAGATGCTGGGACAATAATCCAGAGAAACGGCCAAAATCTTCAGAAATTTGTGAACTTATTCAGCTCTGGCAAAATGAAGAAAATTTTTTATCGGAATTTGAAAAGGCTAATAAACCTGTATTCGATAATAGTGAATTAGGTACTATGCATATTCGGGCAATTTACTCCAGCAGATTCATTAGTAATAATGAGTTAGACTCGATACATTCTCAGGCAGTTTATTCAAGCAGACTTATCTGTCATAATGAACTAAATGTTATAAGTTCTCAATTAGTTAATTCAAGCAATATTTATAGTAAGGAAGATAACATATCTATTGAGTATATGGAAAAACTGAATCAAATATAGCATAAGAAAAATTATTAATAAAAATTGATTATTAATCAATTAATGTGGTTTATATTGTAAAGCATTAAGTTTTCTTTTTTTTATTATTGTCCGAAGCGTAGCGTTGTTTGAGCAAACTTGAATGCAGGTCTATGCAATGTATGTCCGATACAGCCAATAAAAATTGAGAATTAATGGTTCCCGTGATGATCTGCTGTCAGTGTAACTCAATTTGACGGGTCTCGAGGTTGCACGCAAAAAATTCATTTTTATCACAAGTGTCTGATACTCTAGCATTGCGCGATGGCAAATTAAATGCATCAGCACGGCATTTAGTCTGCCAAAAATAACTTTACACGGGATAAATTGTAGTTATTTCAGATATAAGTTAAATTGTAAGTAGCAAAAATTCACTTTACCTTCCGGCATACCATATTGAAAGGGTTTAAAAAGAATTGCAGCAAAGTAGTTAAAACTTCAAAACATTAAATGGCCAATTTTTTCGCTTCGGACTTCTATCAGATTCTGATTTTCTAGTTTTATCTTATTTTTTTAGTATAGTTTTATCTTTATTATTTCTATGTATATAGCTCTTTCCTTATTCCATTTTTACAGTAGTAACCGACTTTTTTTCATATCATGTAAATATTTTAATCAAGTATACTAAAATGGTAGTTGATTGTGGCTTGGTAAAGCTTATTTTATGCAAGCGCGTATACGTGCTGGATTTACTAATTTCCCCCCCAAGTTCCCATTGGTCGAATGCAAATTTCGTTTTCCATTAAATAAATCACCGATCGGGGTGGCTGAAAAATTAATGTAGTCATAATTACGCGCCGCAATTAATATCACTTCGGATATCATAGCGATAATTTTCAATTATTAAAATGTTTTTTTTCACCATTAATACTAATGTTTAGCAATTCTTTCTTTTGAATTTAGCACCTCTTCATGATCGTTAAACTATTTTCAAAGCTTTTTTTTTTTTTTGCATTCACCGAATTCATAATAAAGATAATAAATTTTGCACAACAAATTAATTTATTTTTTTTTACAAATTTATATTATAATATCTATTGTATCATATATAATTATTGAAATAAACACTTTCGTTAGACTATTTTAAACAAGTGAATCTTGTTACAAGAAAGGCGGTCGGGTCAACAGTAAAAATTTTACAAAACTTTTTTATATCGAGAGTTGATTAATTTTCTTATATCGAGTAGACTTATTATAGACTGGTTTTGACTTGACTTTCTTATATCAAGAGTTTAATTAGTCTCTCTTATATCGAAGGTTTATTATATCGAGAGTCGCTTGTATTTTCATTATGTCAAATTCGCTTAACATTGATGATATTTTTGACATTGATGAAATTGATGAGGTTGTCGATATGGACATAAGTGATACTGAACTTGATAATATGCTTGACTGTATTCTGGATGTGATAGATGGCATCAGTCAAGCGTGGGAGACCGTTAACGATGACACAGAGGTTTCAGAATCAGAAAAGGTAAAAACCTATTATCTTTCAACAGATGAATATGAAGGATGGATCAGAAACCTTAAACAAGTGGGTCTAAGCTACTATCAACATGATCATCGAGCTAATTTAGGTGCAAAGAGAAAAAACCTGTGGAGCGAAAGGTGGTATTGTCACCATTATGGGACCTATGAGAGTACTGCTGGAAAAGATGCCAATAAAAAGCCACGATTAGTATAAAAGAAATCAAAAAATGTGAGTGCAAAAGCTACATTCACGTTGTACTTCCAGTTAACTCACAAACAGTGACTTTAAAGTACTATTATAAACATTGCAACCATTACCCGGGCAAAGTGTCGGATTTATGTACGTTGTCTCTTTCTGAAAACATTCAGCACTTTATCCAACAGCGTGCTCTCGAAGGGCTAGACATTTTTAGCATACAAAAGCTTATGCAACATCGGGCAATCAAATTACAA